AGGCACATAGATGCATGAAGAACTGAGGCTGAGTCTGCTTCTGCATGTTTGTGCATCAGTCGTATTAGAAGTTGACCCATAAAGTTGCCTCTGTTCTTTTCTTTAGCTCTGTGGAGAAGTGATTCCGGGTGAAGACAGGAGTACTCACAAAATCCCAGTTACTAGCACCCCTCTGCCTAAGAAGATCTGCTGCTTGATCCAGAGTTGGATTATGAAATCCACCATTGGCTGTTTTGATAACAAACAGAAACAAAGACCCAGATCTGGAAACCCAGGAGCAGTTTAAGGTCCAGAGTCAACTGCTGCAGCTGGGAACTGCTGAAGGCACAAGACAAAGGGTGAGATCAGGAACACCAAAGAAGAACCTCCCATTTAGGACTTCCAGCCACCCCAGGGAAGTTCATGAGAGTTATTGTCAAAACACCTCTGCAGAAATCCAGGAGAAGGAAGTACAGCAGGATCCTTGCCAATTTACACAGATATGCAGAGCCAATAGATACAATCACCTGAACCTGACATCTGTGGTACATTACAGATCTTGAAAGAGACCATTTGTAACTTATGAAAGCATTAGAGTCTGGCAAGTTATCCAGTAGCTATATATTGCTGGAAATATACAGCTCCTCTTAAACCATCTGTGTTAGGGGTTTTATTGGAGTGATTTTATTATGATACATCCTTACCTCATTTTGCCATGGAATAGACACCGAACCTGTGGAAAACTTGGAATAGAAATCATCATCTGTTTGGTCCAGGTTGACTCCTTTCACTGTGGAGAACTGCTCGATGTCTAACACATCCTTGCAGTACACTGCTCGGGGCTAGCTCAGCAGAAAAGGGGAAAAAGAAAAAGAAGAAGAAAATCAGCAAGAGAAAAAAAATATTTTTGATTCTGACCATGTTCTTTCATTCACAGATTCAGTCAAGTGAGAATGCCTAACAACAAGAGACTAGCTGCATCCTGCTTCTCTGGGCTTGTTCTGCCTGCATGTTTATCATCAAAGGCTGACTTCACTTTAAGCATGTTAAGCTTCCCACTTTGAAGTCCTTAAAGCATCAGCACAGCCCAAGTGGATTTTAGTCATCCATGTAGCATATGGTTAAGAGGTGAGGGGAAAAGGACAGAAAGAGCAAGACAACAAAAATCAAATCCTTCAGTAGTCTGTTTTTTTTAAGAGAGGGAACAACAGAAACCCAGAATGCTTATGAGTGACACGTTGGAGGCAGCTCTGAAAAGGGACCTCAGACAGAAGTGTCCTGCTGCTCAGATAGCTGTGGAGTCTGCAGCTTAAAAGTTTAAAGGAATGTATACTAATTGCTAAAGAAAACAGAAGAGCTTTGGCATTTTTCCATTGTTTTTATTAATAACTCAGCTGCTGGAAGCTGTCCAGAACTGCCTCTATTAGCTCTTTTACCTTGGCTGCATTTCTTCAAACAGATAATCAGACAGCTTTGCCTTTTTAAACGACATCATTTTCTGGGGTGACAGAGACTCTTTGCAGTGGTGTTGCTTTTTGCTCGTATTCCAGCAGACAGCCACAGAAAGCAGAAACAGGCATCACTGGCTACCTGTCATGGTGTGGTCATCTGCATGCTTGGAGAGTTCCCATCAACGAGGCAGTTACTCTGTGATGTGCAGGAATAATTGAGGGGTGGTTTGTGGGACTAGCCTGAC